GGGAGAGGGGGTGGACCATGGGGATGGAGGCTGCCCAGGGCCCGGCTCCCAGTCCTGCTGGCCGGCCTTGCACAACCGCCCGCAGGACCCGGACCTGGGCTCTCCCGCACGCGTGTTATTTTTGCTACCTTTGAACTAGTGACTCAAGACTCAAAAGCCAAAATGGAACTGGCGGCTCTGAGATATTTTTGTTTTTGTGTGTGTGTTTTTTTTACCCTCTTCTCTCTCTTTTTAAATAGAAGGGCGCAAACAACCTCATGAGAAAAGAGGCTAAATATAAAGGAAAACTTCCTGACAGCAAAGGGCACAGACCCCGAGCAGGTGTCTCGGGGAAGGGCCAGGGCACGCAGGACCTGCCTGCACTCCCATGTTCTCTCCGGACTCGGCGCCAGACAGGGCAGTGTGTACATCTTTCTAGAACACGGCACCGCAACTCACCCCAACCCACAGGCACGGCCTGCCCCGGCAGCTCCCACACGCTGGCCCATCTAGACAAGCCTCTTGGTGGGAGCAGCGTCCCCGGCCTCTGTCACCGGAGGGTCCCCATCAGCCACCTTCCCACTTGCTGCTGGGGGAGGGGGCCTTTGAAAGTTGTCCCCACCCGCCTGCCTGCCCTGATTGACAGCATCAGTGCCTATCAGAGCACAGGATGCTGCTGGAGGCGGGTCCTCAGACCCCTCCCCTCTCCCTAGCTGGGGTCCAGCTGCCCTTGTCCAGAGTTTCTGGCTAAGATCTACCTCCACCCACATCCGGGGAGCCCCTGCCGGAGTTGGCAGGAACCTCCCAAAGGCGAGTCCCAGAGAGGTGAAGCGAGTGCGCTCTCACCAAGGGAGCCAAGGCCTGCCGACCCGTCTCCACCAAGTCACAGGAGCCCGCGCTCCCGGACCCCCACCACACCCCGTGCCACCCGGGCCCCCGGCGGCAGAGGGCAGTGTCCGTGGTGGGGAGGAGGCGGGTGTGACCCGGGAACAGGAGGGAAGGAGCAGCACGTGGCCTGAGTCACGTGGCCCGGCCGCTGTTCCGCTGGAGCCATGTAAACAAGTCCTGGGCCCTGGAGCCGGCCCCACGGAACGCTCCCTCCCACGTGCCCAGCCGCCCACTGCCTCAGCCTCAAGACATCGGGCTCACCCAGGCCTCGGTAGCACGGGGTGACTTCTCGTCCCTTCCCCTCCGCCTGTCCCTTCCCTGTCGCCACCATCTCAGAGGCACGTGCTGTGCCAGGAGAGGCTGGGCACAGAGCTCTGCCTCCCCCGGGCACATATTTTACCGGTGACAAAGCCGTATCCCGAGGTGCCCGTGCTGTGGGGCAAGGGGCGCGGTGACCGGGCTGGGCAGGGACACCGGCAGGCGCCGCCGGGGGTGGGAGACGGAGCCCCGAGGGCCGCCACGGCCAATGGAAACACCCTGGTCTGCGGGAGACCCACAGCCTGATGGCTCCGGCCTCCGAGGTCCGTGCCAGTTCCTCTGGGCTGTGGGGACCTTGGATGCCTTTCCTAGGTGACAGACCGAGAGGGCTTGGCATCCATCTCCATCCTAACTCTCTGGAGGCCCGAAGACTATGGCGTCCCCATGTGGCTGAGGTCCTTCGGGCCCCTACATTCCCTCCCCGACCAACATCTGGACCCCCACTCCTTATGCGTGGGGGTCCTCCTTTTCCATAACGTCTACTTTATGTTCCTTTTCATTCTGTTTATTCCTGTTTCCTACCTCCGCCACACCAGCATGCTGCCTCCCCAGCACCCCGTCCAGGCCCTGGCACATGGCAGAGGCCGAATCCAGAGTTGAGGAGGGGATGGGTTTGCCTGCTCTGTCCTGCCCATCCACAGATACCCCAGAGGGCCTTCCTGGGCCCGGCCTCCCCACAAAACGGGCACCTGACCTTCCACTCTGTTCACATCCGTTCTCCTGGCCGCCTCCCCACGGAGGGCCTCAGCTCCCCAAAATGTCTGCACCAGCCCCAGCGGGCGAGAATGAAAAGCTCAGGCTTCGGACGTGCCTGGGTTGAAATCTCAGCAACCCCACTTACCAAGTGAGTGACCTTGGTGAAGTCACTTCACAGTCAGTTTCTCTCACCGTGAGAGGGAAGTAACACCTGCCTCATTGGGCGGTTCTGACGCTGAAACCAGATAAGCAGAGGCGGCTCTGCACACAGGTCAGTTTCCCTTTCCCGGGACTGCCTGCTGAGACCAAGAACTCTGCTGCCCACCCACGACGGTCCCTGAGCTGGGCTCCAAGCGCACACACGTCCATCCCAGGCCCCAGCAGGCAGCCCTGGCTGGACACGGGGTACACCCTCCCACACCCTCCTGGCCTTCAACCTGCGACCAATGCACAGCCATCTCCCTACGTGGCGTTCTCCATCCTCATTCGCCCGCTCCTCTCCTGCCCAGGCTCAACGTGATTGCATCAGGTTCTGCACGGGCCTTGGGGCCTGCAGGTGTTCCCCGGCTCTATCGGCTCACAGGCAGCTCCCGTGGAGGGGGCCAGCGGGAACCCCACCCCAGCCTCTGCTTTCCTCACAGACACTGCAAGTCCCAGAAGAACAAAGCGAAGCGAGGGCCTCCCTGGCACAGCCAGCTGGTGGGAAAGGGCAGGCGGTATCTCTCGCATATCTCCCAGGAAGGCAACGTGCCCACAGAAGTGACCGGCACAAGGTACAGATCCTCTCTGAAGCTGTGGCTGCTGCCTCAGGGGCACCGGTGCCAGGGGACAGAGCCAAGGCATGCATTAAACTGTTCACAGCCCCGACCAGACCAGGATTCAATGGGACCGAGAAGGTGCTGACCAATCAGGTCCCCTGGCAGGGCCCCACCTCTAGTGCCCACTGCCCAAGCCACGCCACCACAGCTCGGGTGCCACCAGCTCGGTTAACCTCTGCTGGACTCAGATGGAAAGGCCTCACCCTGCCTCCTGGCTTCCAGACCACAAGGATCCAAAGGTCAAGGAAAAAGTGCCAGATATGCCTGTCCTACCCGCACCACCCCCGCCCCCCCTGCCCTCCCCAGGAGGTGTCAACTGCTCTGCTGGCCTGACTTGCAACACACAGTGCTCCCAGCTGGTGAGCAGGGACAAAAGAATGAGGCGAGGAACACACATAGGAAAATCAACAGGGAAGCTCCACCCGGGTCTGGAAAGGCCAGAGGCGACAGGCACCTTAGCTGCCCACCCTGGCTCTCCCAATCCGGACAGGAAGGGCTGTGAGTGGGAGTGGCGGTCACCCAGAGCCCGGCCAGGGATGCACCGCACACAGGAGAGCAGAGGCCCCTTGAGCATGGCCAACGGCTCCGTCTGGCTCCAGCCCCACAAGCGGCGCTGGCCGGACTCTCGCCGGCACATCTTGAGGGACTTGGCCCGCGCCTCTTCATCTCCCCAGCGGCACCAGAGTCGATCCCTCCTCTTTATTCATGTTCCAGACCCAACACCCTTAGCCATCGCTTGCTCCATTACTGCTGGAGGGGCTGAGACTGGTCAAGTTCCTTGAAAGAAGGGACACCCGACTCATCCCCACAGCCCTGGGCGCCTCCGTCTGGAGCAGTGGTTCTCAACCTTGGCTGCACATTGGAATCACCCGGGAATCTTTTTAAAATCCTGATTTCTGGGCCTCATCCTCCGGAAACTCTGTTTCTTTGTTATGGGGTGGGGCTGCCACATTAGTAACAAAGAAACAGAATTTCCAGAGGATGAGGCCCAGAAATCAGGATTTTAAAAAGATTCCCGGGTGATTGTAATGTGCAGCCAAGGTTGAGAACCACTGGTCTGGAGGATCTCAGGCGGCTCAGAGCCAATTCACAGATGCATCTCAGATGGGAAGAGAAATGAAACATGGTGGCAGCACTGGCCTGCCTTCCCAGGGGAGGGAGTGGGGTGAGGAAAAGAGAGCGGAGAGGTGGGACCCCACAGGGCCTCCAGGTGTCAGCAAATTACGCAGCAACCCTCCTTTTCTCTTCAGACACCAGACAAAGCTGCCCTGGCTAATTCCAACCAGCGCTACTGGCCCAGAGCTTTGCCGGAATCTACTCGGTAGGGGAGAAGTTTCTGGGTGTTGAGACCAGCGCCGGGAGTCGGCTTTCTGAATTGTCTCTACAAGGCGACAGGCCTCCCCAGTTCTGCAGCCGTCATCGTTTTTAATCACCAATGCTATTATCCTCAAGCGAGGCAGAGAAAAACATTTCTACATCCACTGCCTACAGATGCTCTGCCATGGCTTACTGGGCATGGAATTTTTTTTTAAGGCCAAGGCAATAATAGCTTAAAGGAAGAAAGTGACACACACACACACACACACACACACACACACACACACACAAAGGTAGGCAACTTCCTCTCTGAATTCAATAAAAAAAAAAAATATTTTTTAAAAAGGTGGGGAAAGAGCCCCAAAATCTACTGCCCAGGTCACAATCTACACTCCAGACTGAGATCTAGACTGAGGCCACATGACTAAAGGTGCTAGAGTAAGAAAGGACATCCCCAGAGATGACTCCGGGAAGAGGACACCCCAGTGCCAGGTGGGTTCCCAGGACCTTGAGGGGTTACAGCCAGAAGCTCAGGTCAGGTGACATACTGGGGGCTGAGGAGAGTAGCGTGTCAGTGACGCGGGAGACGCACCTGCTCGGCCGGCAGCCACACCCAGCAACCTCCCAGCCATCTCCCACACACCCTAGCAGCCGGGTCGCTTTGCGGGCCACCTGCCCCCCATATCTGCTGGCGACTAACCCCATTCACAGAAGAGCTGGGAGGAAGAGAATGGGAAGGAGAGAAAAGTCGTTTGGGAGATTCTGAATGAAGACGTAGAAGGATTCCTCACCGAATAAGGAAAATGGCCTCCATGGGAAGAGAAGGGGTTGGGGAAAAACGAGAAGGGGACAGGCCACACCTGACTCACCCAGGCGGCCGGGGAGGGGTTAAGTCCTATTTCCCAGGCTGCATCAGGTTTCCACGGAGCAGCCTGGTGGTGTGCCACATCCATCAGCACTTTGGGTCCCGGAACTGCAGTGGTGGCTCAACAGCACCTGCAAGAGGGAGAAGGCAGAGAATCCAGCCCACTCTGCCAGGCAGAGAATCCACCACCTAGCATGACACCCTCAGTCACCACCAACTCTCCCGAGGTCGGCTGACACCTCTGCCTGGCGAAGGCAGATTTCCAGAAATTCCAAGGTGTGTGTTTGGGGGGTGGGGGGGGGGGGG